GGCAGTAAGGAACAATTCCAGCTCGGGCGTGTGGTTGCATAGACCGGTTGGGATCTGCTCGATGCTTTTCACCCACAGCCTTTGAAGATTTGAAACAATTCACGTATTTTACGACCTTATTACGTTAGGCATCTGCGGCCCCGGCCAGCCGCAGGTGGGAGTTGGAGAGTTTGCATCAATTTGACCAGGGTCTGCCTGACTTGAGGCGGGCGATAACAGACCATTAGCACCGGAAGGTGCCATCTCACCGTCAAAGACAATACGTGGCGCTTGCGCTCTTGGCCAATCGAGCAGTTAGCTTATAACTCGTAGACCTTTGTCTCCCATGATTAGGTTTTAAAGGAAGGGGACCATCGACCTCTTCCTAACCTGACTGGGTTAGTCTTACCCCTAAACATTTCTTGACTGGTATGGGTGGCTCTGAGGGCACTTGGAAAGTGCCACCCAGCTTAGCTCACTGGGTCACGGTAATATGCAAACCACCGTACCACGCTAAGGTACAGTCTCGTTGCAATAGTATACAGTGCTTATTGACCCTAATAGCGCTTCGAAGTCGAACAGCACACATGCGACTGTTCACTGGTATCCTGTCGTGTAGATTACTTTCAGCGTGTCTGCTGAGGGTGATGTTGACACCGTAAATACCTTTAGCCACTGACTCAATATCACCAGAGATGCGAAGAGTTAGTCGTCGTCGCCAGATTCAGAACCGGAACTCGAAGATTCGTCACAACGTTGTTATTCTGTATACGCGTTTTTGAGACAGCATACATCAATACCAAGAGAGTGAAAAGTGAGGCAGTGCTGCCCGTCGACTGATGTAACTCAAAGTGTGAAAGTTAAAGGAACCAGTTTGAAATAAGCCTTTTAGTTTGATGGACGAATTACACGTATAAATAACAGTAACAGCAAGGTCAGCGGCATTTTCTTGCTCAACAGAAGGGAAAAGATGGTTAAGCGGAACGAGGAAATGTGGAGAAGTATTGTCAATTGGGTCGAGATGGCAGTTGCTACTCCTCGGTCGCCCGTTCTGAGGAAGCGGTTTTGGTTAAGGTGCTCAACTTCTCAGTCGAACCCATAAGGCAATGGAGTACATGGAGGTTTGCTTGATGGACTCCACTTGGAGCCTTTGGCTCAATAGCGTGACCCATAAGACGGTGGGGAGCAAATTCAGATAGGGAGTGTGATTACAGCGATCCACTGGGATCCGCTTGAGGCCTGTCACACACAGTTTTTGGAGATTTAGAACAATGCCCTTATATTTTATGACCATATTATGTTTCGCAAGAGGAGCAAGCAATGCAGCACGAATTATTGTGGCATCAACTTTCTGAGTTATGTGTAGAAGGTGATTGTCCGAATCCTAGTCAGTTGTCACGTCGCTCAAGTTGTTGTACCGAACGTGGCAGAAGAGCAATGGAGATTCCGTTCGGGTCGCAGCACCATAAATATGGTGTTCGCGACTCGTCAGTTGCAGGAAAAATGCATAAGGCGACACCAGCTATTGTACTCAGTTTTTCTCATTTGAACAGCTGATACATGCACCGAGGTAGGTCCAATTACCACGGGTCACTCATCGTAATAAATAACGTCACGATAATGGGGTGGAATACAAGTAGCATGTAAAGAAAATGGAAGCAAAAAGGAAGTGCATTAAAGTAATCGGAATGGAATACACATTAACAAGTTGATGTAAGAAACCAACTGCAAACACGCCACTGACTGCGAGCTATTGTATTCATTGTTTATAGACTTCACTAAGGTATTTGATACGGTGAATCGCAGGGCACTGTACTTGCCAGAGTAAGCTTGTAAGTTTAATTGAATGTCTGCACATTGGTATTCGTGCGAGGGTGCAGCTTTATGGATAAACCTCGAATGACTTTGCTGTTGTCGCTGGTGTGCAGCAAGGCTGTGTCTTAGCCCCGTTCCCTGTTTAATATTCACTTGAATACAATGATATCTTGAGCTTTTGATACTGCTTGTGATCAGGGTGTGTGCAATACCGTATTGATGGTTGATTGATGAACATCCGTCGTTTCGGGGCTAGAACCCTATTGTGTGAGACAACCATCCGTAAGTTGCTGTTTGCCGACAACTGTGCGTTGTTTGCACACAGCGTGGATGAGCTGCGGCCCATAATTAATGCTCTGGCTTCGACAGCGGTCATGTTCGGGCTCATCACTAACACAAACAAGACTGTCTTTCCCAGCCCACACCAGCAACGCGTTTATGTTTGCCACGAATCCATATTGATGATGACGTCATGGAAACCATTTCGAGATTTTGCTACCTGGCTAGTGTACTCTCGTCCGATCTTCAGGTGATGAGCGAGCTGCGAATCGGCATATCGAAAGTGACTGCTGCGTTTGGAAAGTTGGAAAAATGTGTGTGGAACCATCACCACCTTACCTTTGCAATGAAGCTGATGGTACGAGTCTATGGTGCTCTCTGTTCTGAACAACAGCGAAACCTGGACGATGCACAGAAAGAATGTCAGCTATATGAAGCGGCCTCATCAACAGTCCGTGACGGATTCTACGCATCGGCTGGTGCGGCAGAGTTGCAGACACGGAGATACTCCGTCGCAGTGGCATGTATGCAGTTGACTGTATACTTCTGCTGAGGCACCAGTAGTGACTGGGGCATATTAGCCGCATGGATTCGACGCGGATACCCAAGCAACTCTTATGTGGGCAACTTACTGCAGGGAAGTGACACGTGGGAAAGCCCAAGTTGCGTTACCTGGATGCGCAGTTTATCACGAACTAATGTTGATTTCAGATGTTGGGAACCGAAGGTGGTTATTCGGCGTGCATGGCACGATCTGATTGCGATGGCAGTAGCCGAGATGCAGGAGAAAGCCTCCCTGTAGGCGGAAAAGAAACGGCAGGGGCGGAAACGACAGGCGCCGATGGAGTGTACCCCATCGACGTCGGGCGCATGGTGCTGTTACACATGCGGTCGCGAGTGTCTGAGCCAAATTGGCCTGGTAAGCCATCCCTGTTTCCACGTGGGACCAGCATCCAAAAGACGAGTCAACTGAGTATCTAAACATAATTAGCGCAGCGATTAGTAGGTGCGCTGCGTCTGCATCTATTCGAATAACTAACCCAGGCCAATCACACGGTTGATATGGTACGTGTGCCGCATCGTCGTTGCAGTTGGTCTGTACGTATGCCTGCATGTTGACTTTCTTGCATTTCAGGGGTTGGTTGTTAATTGATATCCCCGGTGTGGATGCACTTGAAATGAATGTTGACAAGGTGCCTACCTGTTTATCGCCCACCACCTCGTTCATACTAGCACCGGGAGGCAGTTGGTCGTTGCTGGAGGGTACGGGGTGCATGTACCTCGTTACAATGTTAAGCTCGATGATTGGTTTCATCCTGTGTGTAACGGGCTGTGACCCATCCACCGCCTTGTGTATCTGGCACGGGTGATTTTCCATTTAAGCATGAATGCTTCCTCTTTGCTTGTTGCAAGTATGTGGGCTAACTCCGTTGGTGAAATCTGGCTCACCTTCACAACTCTCCCGGTCTTGTTCCTTCGGGGTTACACTGGATATGCGTGTAGGGATGCAGCTTTGGGTGGTTCAGCGCCAGTCACCCATGGTCCCTCTGTAGGTGCAGACGTCCAGTGACTGTCCTATGGAGGCCGCAATGACAGGCAAATCAGCAATCGGACGTGGCCAACCATGTAGTCCACCTGCGACCACGGCCAGCCGCTGGTGGGAGTTGACGGGTCTGCACCAATTTGACTACGGGCTGCCTGACTTAAGGCGGGCGATAGCAAACTGTTGGGTACTGAAAGGTATCCTCCTACTGTCATAGACAATGCGTGGCGCTTGTGCTCTACGCCCACTTAGCTGGCCCGTAGCTTAAAGGATCAGAGACCTGTGTTGTAATCTGAGAGCGCGAGTTAGAGCCTACGTAGGGATCTGAAGATTCTCATAGTATGTTTACCCTACGTGCGACTGGTGATAGTTGCGCGGCAGCGAAGCGTCGGTACTGCGTACAGGCGGACTGCTGATGACTTTTTGACGCCAATAGAGCTGTGAGCTAATAACCCGTAGACTCTTTGTCTCCCCTGACTAGGTTTTAAAGGAAAAGAGCCATCGACCTCTCCCTAACCTCCGTAGAGGATTTTATTTTGTGACTGAGTTGGTCTGACCCATAACCATGGACGTGTCTGTTATGAGTTGTTTGAAAGACACTGGCAAAGTGCCACCCAGCGTAGCTCAGTGAGTCGCGGAGGTATGCGAACCACCGTTTCACGTTAATGTCAATTCGCATAGACCAGTACTAGTCTGTGATGACCATTTTGTAGAACGACAGGTTGCATTGATTGTGCTGCGTTAATTTGGTCGCTTACAACGTATGTTTCGTCACCGCTTACTGAGGAGCGCGTTTTGTTTGCCGGATTTAGGGTGGCGCAGGGTCGAGGTGGCAGCGAGAAATGAAATCGCCGTCTAAAACACTGGGTGCCGTTGGTCCGTCTCGTCTTCTAGACCGGAGTCCACTTGACCTGTCTTGCGAGGTTACAGAAGATAGCTTGCAGCCGGCACTAATAGCGCGTCTGATGTCGTTTTCTAGTCGGACTACCTGTTTAAAGTTTGGTGCTGTTATCTGCGGGATAATGGCTGATTATGACACGAGGCAATGAAACCCGAAATGAGGCTGTCACGCTGATGGCGCTTTATTTTTTCACAATAGCCAGCGGTTTGTGACGGTATGTTGTTGACTAGGTGTAGATGCTTTAGCACTGAATGTTTACTCAGTGCGTTAAGCCTTTACACTAGGTCGCATTCTTTTCTACTTGTTGTCCTTCCTTCCGTAGGCCCTTGTGATTGTACTGTGTCGAAGAACCAATTCAAATGCTTAGTTTGGTGCTTTTTTGATGTTGCTAATGGACCTCGTGTGCAGTGTGAACTTCGTCTTCCTTTGATGTTAGCAGCTTTCTCAACCCATCTATAATTTGTTTTTGTTACTTTCAGGCAGAAACTATCTGTCAGAGTGAACTTTCGGATGGCCGAGAGCATTAAGGTCCATGCGATGTCTAACTTGGAGTTAGCTCATTCCTCACCCACCCACAACCTGGCCGACCTTACATCGGTTTCGATAGCATCAGCCGGAAAAAGGGGTGAAGTTGAACAGCCGTGTAACGACAAAACTGAAAAGAATGGAACTTGCGGAAGTCTAACTGATTTATACTTTTGCGGTTCTTCTGGACCCCTTGAATTAAGCAGTGATTCTGACCGAACATCACCCAATTCGGTTTCTGTTATGACTGATCGTGTGCAGCACATAGCGTCTGGTATTTACGCCGAATTCGAGGCCATGATTGAAACGTACGGACTTCCTGTGGTTGAACGCCTAATGCCGATGGTTATTGGCCTTCTGGAGAATTTAGACGAGCTATATAAGGACCGATCAGCATATCTGACCGAAATCAGTCAGTTAAGAGAACAATACTCTTTTACAGTGGGTGAATTGGAGAAAGAAAAGGAAAGACGGAAGCTGTCTGAATTGGTAAGCCTACATTGTGTGGCTCATTTTGTTCGTGTTTTTAACCCTTACATACTACGCCTGTTTGCTTACGTTCTCTCCACTTTGAAATCGGTTGCGCCGATCCAGCATTCTGTTTTGTAGATACTCTGTGCGTCCGTTCTCAGCTTTTCCAATACTGCACTTCTGTATGTCTTGTCCTCAATAGTGTACCTCGCTTTTTCGGAACTATAGACATCAAGTCGATAAGTTACCAGTCGACACTACGTGCATCACCTAACATTGTCGCTCATTCGAATTTTAGCAGTTGAACCAACTGAGGCGGATGCCAAAATTCCCTTGCACCATGTAGTTTGGCGGATGGCATTTAGACGGTTCTTTCCGTCGCTTATAGTGATCGACGTTCTTGTGCTGTAAAACCATGCATATACATTATTATTACTGTTATTATTACTGTTTGTTATTAATATTAACTTCACTGCCAAATGACTAGTCACATCTTATTTGATGGTTGATTTAAGGCGTTTTAGATTGCTACTAAGTCCAATTAAATATCGAGGTTCTCCTAAGAGTTTGTTTAGTCGGATTCCGTATGATGTACGCTCAACTTCAGGTTTTCCCTCTGCTACGGGAATTTGGGCCTTGTCATATCAGTGATTAAAGTCTCCTTTTACTTCAGCAACGCTGTCGTGTTCGGTATCTTGCTTTTGTCTCTTAACATTTCAGCCTGATTATCATGATGTTTTTCCTTGAATTTTTGCCATATTGCTGCTTTGAATCGCCAATCATCGTTGTCTTGGTGATGTCGATCCTAACACTTAGGTTCATCTTTCATCTCTACTCGGCCGATGGACAAAATGACAAGGCGTCTGCCTTGTAACCCCCTCGAGCTTTCGTAAGGGATCAGGTGAACCTCGCAGTATCCTTAGTCCACGCGCAACTGGTGATGTTTTAGTAGCAGCGAAACGTGGTTACGGCGTACTGCTGCCCTGCATCAGGCATGCCTCCTGTATGGATTGACGCAACTTTGTATTCTCCGGATGGTTCATGAAGCTGTCAATTAAAAATACGCCCAAGTGGGCTATCCATCGCCACACCCTCAACTTGTCCATAGGTTTTTCCCTCGAAACAAAACTGAACATCTTTTGTACATATGCGAAGTATTGTCTAGTCGATGTGCTAGGCGCTCCATTTTATTCGCATGTCTGCTTATGATGTACAATGTACTCTCCGAGCGTACGTTTGTAAATAGTGAACAGACCTCGAAGGACACCATGTGTTTGTTTTCCACATTTAAATTCCTAATCTTGTCAGCGAACTCAAAGGAATATTTCATGTTATACGCTGTTAGTTTGCGTCCGATAGGCTCAATTAGTCGAGCTAACCATCGCGCCAACTTCTGGTATGACGCTGCCATCGTTGAAAGCATTGGACGCATTGGAATCCCTTCTTTGTATACTTTCGGTAATCCATACATCCGAGAAAGTCTTGAACCACGAGGCCACATCTGCGTCATGGTTTAGCATCAATCAGTCCATCTTTGCATAGGATTCGTGGTTCATGGGTTATAGTCTTTACAACTTTTTACCTTCCGTCACTTTCTGTTTGATCTTTAACGAATCAATCCTTATTTATGAGCACGGATTGCATTTTCTGCAAGTAGTCCTCTTTATTCATTACGACAACTCCAGTACCGTTGTCGGGCGTCATCACTGCGTCGTTTCCACCTTACGCGCTGATGGTCATGCTGATAAATTTGTTCCGAAATATGGGACAAAAATAGCAAGGAAAGAAACACCGGTTGAGCTCTTCATTACATTAACGTACAAAGGGAAACAGAATGGTCGAAGCTTACGCTAGTCCATAAAGTGGTGCTACCCTGCAGCTGAGCTCGTGCTTCTACATCAAACCAGAAAGTTACTGCACGCATCCAACCTAGACAGGCCTGACTATCAAGTTACCGCCTCCGGCGTCTGCCAGTTTAACTGCACATGCGGTAGAATGTACATCGGCCGGACTGAAAGAGGGCCATCACCCCGGATTTCGGGAGCACAGTTTCCGAAATCTAGCTTCGACTAATGCGAAACTACCTGTTAACTCAATTGCTGGGCTGTACAATGTGCTAACCCCCTGGAAGCATTCAAGGTTCGTGTATGCAAACTAATCCGACCCTCCTCCCGTTCGCTGACGCTGCCGTCATCCGGCGTCTAAAGCCCAACTTATGCAAGCAACTGGAACTTGTGGCCAGTATTGCTCTACCGTCGTACGATGTTATTTGTCCTGTAGAGGCATTGACGCAGCCAATTATCGACTCTTGGTACTGATTCCCTTTCACTTCCGTTCGTTTCAAGTTTTCACTATTAGTATGTATGCGGCCGAATGAGAATACGCGAAATACACCGAATTCAAGATATTCCGTCAACTGCAATCTTTTTGCTTTTTGCACTTTTAGAATGTAAAGAGTATTTCAGTCGGTTTGCTGCAAGATCAGCTTCTTTTGAATCATCTGGTCTTACTTGGAATACTGGTATCACACTTCACAGCATGTCGAGAAATTCAGTACATGTCATTCTGTTGAAACCGACAACTGCAAACCCTAACACACGGTTTTCACTTTTTGTCTACTGCTGGCAGTCTGTCTGTCGACTTACACAACACTAAGGTGCTCTAGGCGGACAACCTCAGTCTTATTGATGTTGGCAAGAGCCAAAGTTGATCACATAAAATGCTTCCTGTCAGGAACTTACCGTCTTGATGGATAAGCTGCTCATAGTTCATGTACTGTAGTCTGTTTATATCAGCCTGGTTTTTGCCTTAATATTATGCCATATCCCTGTGATTGCAATTTACCAGTGGTGAAGTGGTTCGATCTTTTGGCTTATAATCCACATGTTGCGGCACATTAGCTGAGGTGTGTTTCTCACCTTCGACTAACGTGTATTGATGTTTGCTGATGATGCAACCGTCGGCAGTTGCGTGGCACCGTAGCGTCGTCACGTATTTCCGACCTGACGTCGGTACCAGGTTTTCAATTGCTTTACGACCGTTTTCCACTCAACTGCGCGCGAGTATTTTTGTTGTCCTCCTCTGGTTTGCGTGTCAAATTCGCTACTTTACATTGGTCCAGGAACCAGGAATCATCCCGTTGCATTCACCACCACCTGCGGGATGTATCACTCTTGCTCCTTCTTCTTTCTTCCTACCTTTGTGGTGGAAAATGACAGATGTCTCCGTCCTCTTTGGCTCTTCCATGATGGAAGTTTTACTGTGGGTCCTATTGGCATACCAAGAATCTGCCAGTGTTTTAATTCCCATGGGATCGACACTGGCTGCTGTGCAAACACCACTCTGTAGGTGAGCACGCCTCACTCTCGGTTCACCATGTGTTGCACTATGAACTTACAAGCCGCTCTTATAAATCTGAACCGAAACACATTAACTTTAAAGATCGCTATATCTCCACCGGAGTTTTTCACTTCTTCTATCGTCCGGATACTTCTGATGGTCACATCGTTCATCAGATTGTTGCACTCGTCATTTGGTTGATGCCAGAGTATAAATTTCCTTAGCTTGCTCATTGTCACCGTGGGAAGAATTGGAAAACCATTTCCGTTAAACAAGTTAACATCGATAGTATAGGACGGGCTTGTTCAATGAGCTTTGTTAATCGGCGTTTCGTTTGATTTCCCTAATTCCCGGGTTCTAGACGCACTTTTGATATCGCCTAGCGAGTGCAAGCGGGTGGGAATTCGACCGCGGAGCGCGTCGAAATTGGGTATGACCACCTCAGTCACGAATTTCCTGCATTCTTTCCATTACCTACGAGTGACTGGTACTTGGAATTTTGTTAGTCAGTAGGCGATTACAACGATTAGCTTGAGGCTAGATCTGGTCTGGGCTTGCGTCCTATTTTGGAGTCAGCTAGCGGTGGGCGTCCTCGCGGTATACTCAGCCCGCGCGCGACTGGTGGTGGTTGCGCGGCAGCGAAGTGCCGTTACGACGTACAGCTGACACATTACTATTATTATTGTTTTTATACTTATGTTCGCTGGCCATTGTTATCGTTTTCATTGGCTGTTGTTTATCACTCTTCCCCAATTCTTTTCACCCGTTTTCTCCACTGTTTTCTTGGCACTGGAGTGTGCCCTGACGCTGCACCTCACGACACATGCCATGAGCGAGGTTCGGCTAATTTTTGTATCTTCACAGAACGAAGTGTCCAGTTCGGGAGACCTTTACGCAATCTCTATTTTCACTTATGATTTGGATATACGCCGTCTCATTTCGCTTGTAAGGATTACACAACTGCGGACATATTAGCTCATACTGATGCTATTGCAGTCCCGGTGTCTTCGGCACAGGATCAAGTTACTAAACCACAACCTAATTTTACGAGCGTTTGATCGACTTTCAGGTCTGTATCAACTGCGTGAAACGCAATTTTCCTGATTTCCTCCAGTGAACCATTTTTTTGCTTCTTTTCTCGCAAAGTTATCCCGACCAGTTACTTAATTATCAGTCGGACGCCACTCATCCTCTGTGTTAACCCAATCACCGGGGAATACTTTTTACCTTGACTCAAGCCTTCACTCGCTTCTTCTGCTTGATAATCAAGCCCGGTTTCTCTCTCCGTGATAACGTTTCCGTTACTAGCGTTTATTGCAAACAGAGGATGCTTTCGATGAAGAGAAGAAAGCCCAGGATCAAAAAATCGAGTCGTTGAATGCTGCTTGTCGTCAAACGGAGTTGAGGTTTCAAAACATGAAAGACCAAGGTGAGATCTTCGTTTTTCTCTCCTCCTCTTGGGCCACCACACCCGTCCTTCGCCTCAATTAGCCTCGCTTTCGCCATGTTACAAATGAAACATCCGCCCAGTTCGTATGTCTCGTTTTTCCACCACTTTATCTGGCCGTGAATATTCCTAAGAACTTGGCGGCCTCTCGACTTGAAATATCCCTATAGAATGTATCATGCAAATCACATTGCTAGGTTCCCCCGCGATCCAGATTGTGTGACCCTGGATTCGTTATTGTTTCCTATTTACTGCTGTTGATTGGGGGAATTAGTCACTTAAGGACCAATAAGCTCTCAGATAATCCTTGTTCTGACCACTGACCACTTGTTAAAGCATGAGTAACCCTTTCCTATTGGTGTCTCATCATGCTAATAAAGCACTCCGGGTACCGAATCACGAAAAGCATACAGCATTCAAGGTAACAGAATCTTGGATCATCTTACATTCTCTGTTGCTCTTCGTTATGTCCGACGTTGTCCCCCAACCAAAGTGGCTCATGTTCCTTGTGCCCCAAACCGCGGAGCCGAATACGCCTTCCGTAGTCAACATTTGCGTCAGTGTGTTGTCAATGTGGTGGCTGCACCACGTAACCAATGCGGAAGTCAGGCAGCGTGTCTTGGGTGGAGGCAGCTACACACTTGAGGAGATTGCCCTGCCGTGTCAGCTGCGGTGGCTTGGACCGTGCTGTGCATGCCCACTAATCGTCCTCCGTGTCGGGCATTGTTCGCGGTTGCTGGACAGCACCGGAGGAGACGGCGCGGTAAACAACCTACAACATGGAGAAGCCACATGGCAAAGCTGACGAAACAGTTGGCCTCGGTCGGTTGTTCTCGACTCCTTGCTTGGGATTTCAGTGATACTGAATGTCGCTGGTTGGAGACCCTAAAAGTTATGGCTCAGAACCGACGTCAATGACAGACGTATATATCTGCGTGTTGCGGTTATTTCCCTTCCCCAAGGAAACAAACAGTAGAAAAAAACTCAAAAACTGAGTGAAAAATTACGGAAAATGCTACACGTTTATTTTCTTCTTATTCATGCTTTCTTGTTCCTACTTAATTCTCATGACACAATATCTGTACCACAGATGGTGATCAATATATATGGTTGGCGGCATCCGGTTTCGGATTTCCCTGTCACTATGGTCAGCCACAGGACGCCTGCGCCTACAGAGGCACCATGCGTGGCTTGCGCTGCATCACTCACAGGTCCAACCACACACCCCATATCCAGTGTAAACCCGAAGGAATAAGACCGGGAGGCATGTGGTTGGGAGCCATGTTTCATCAACGGAGCCGGCCCACACTCCTTCACAGGCAAACACAAGCACGCTGTATTTGGGAAACAAGCGCATACAAGACGGTGGCTGGACCGTAGTCCGCTCCTCATTAAGTGCATGGAACCACTCTTTGATCCTAACACGGCCACAAGAACCGTGCACCCCGTCCCCTCTAGCAACGACCAACTGTCTCCTAGAGCCAGTATGGACGAGGTAGTGGGTAATAGACAGGTAGGCAGCTTGTCAACCTGCACCTGAGCGCAGCCACACTGGGGATATCAAGCAACAGCCAATCACTTGAAAGATAACAAATAAAACAAATCGAGTGATGAGTAATAAGGAAACGGTGACTTAGGTCTTAAATTAATGAGCATATGAAATAAGTTGTTTACAAAAGAATCCGTGAGGAGGTCAGACAGTATATTTTACGGAAATGCCACAAACACGAAAGTGTTATCGAAATTAACTACAATTGGCTTAAGCGACTTGTGCAAGTTTTTAGCAGAGAGTACAAGTAGACATTTATATGAGAAAGAAAAGCATTGGGACAAAATTGAAAACCCAGCATCTGAAATAAATAAACTTCGTATGCATGCACTCGGTTAGTAAATCGAATGCAGCGTGCCTACAAACGCCGCGCCGGTTCTGCCTGCGTTCTCTGCAGGACCCGTCGTCCCTTTGGTAGTGGTCCCGAGTGGCCTCGCTCATGGCTTACTAAGCCTGCCTGACTAAGGCACTCTCGACCGCATGTGCTACAGTACCATGCGCTCGATGTCGATGAAGCACAACCCATCGTTACTTGTCGCTTCCGCACTTGACGCTTTTTCTCTGCATGTATGAGGTCACTCTCCCACACTTCGACAACTGCCTTCGTGATCCGAACGCGCCATGCACACCGATTAACCGCCTTCAATTTCCATGACCTGCAATCAAGATTAGAACCTGAAAGGCTTGCTTTGATCATGTCCTGGTAGCGTAAATTTGGTTTCCCCACACGCAGCTTCCCAATACTCAGCTGATCATGTAAGAGTTGTTTCGGTATCCGCGTCGAATCCCTACGGCTCACATGACCGAGCCACCTCAGACGTCTCAGCAAACGTATGCACTGCACTGCATACATTCCACTTCGAAGCAACACTTTCTTGTCCGCAACATTGTAGCTCATCTGATGCGCAAAATCCGTGGCAAACACTATTATGGGAACCGCTCGAGATATCTCACATCCCGCCGGTACATCGTATGTTTCACTGCCGTATAGAAGAACGAACACCACCATGAATTTGTACATCGTCAGCTTCCTGCCAATGGTAAGCTGATGGTTGTTCCACACTCGGTACTCAAGTTTCCCGAATGTCGCCGCTGCCTTCGACACGCGAATACGCAGCTCAGTGTGTAGCTGCTGATCAGTCGACATCACACTCTCAAGGTAGCCGAAGCGGAAGGTGCTTTCCAATACTTCTGCATCCATGCTGATTCGCGACAATATTGAAGATTGCACCTCGGGTGAAGGCTGAAAGAGACAGACAGTTTTGCTTGTGTTGATGGTGAGCCCGAATTTGGCCGCTGTCGAAGTCAGAGCACTAGTCATGTGCTGCAACTCATCCGCGCTGTGTGCTAACAACGCACAGTCGTCAGCAAACAGCAACATACGGATAGTTGTCTCACAGACTAGTGTTCTCGCACCGAAACGACGGATGTTCAACAACCCATCATCAATCCGGCGCTCCACATGAACACCGTAAGCACAAGCCGCATCAAAAGTACAATCCATCGTTGCATCAAGATATATATTAAACAGGGCAGGAGCTAAGACACAGCCTTGCTTCTCACCAGTGACAACTATAAAGTCATCGAAAGTCTCCCCACCCAACTGCACTGTTGCCCGCATACCACTGTGCAGACATTCAATTAAACTTACAAACTTACGCGGGCAACCAAACATACCCAACACCATCCAAAATGCCTTGCGGTTCACCGTATCAAATGCCCCGGTGAAATCAACAAAAAGCGAATACAATGGCTGGTGTCGTTCTCTGCACTTCTCCTGCAACTGACGAGCCGCAAACACCATATGTATAGTGCTGCGACCGGAACGGAATCCACATTGCTCTTCCGCCACGTTAGGTTCCACAACCTGACTGACGAGGCGGTTGAGCAGGATTCGGGCAATCACCTTGCCCACACAACTCAGCAAGTTGATGCCACGATAATTCGTGCAACATTACTTGCTCCCTTTTCCCTTATACAGTGGTAGCACAAGGATATCCTTCAGCTCAGGATGCACCTCCTCCTCAGTTCATATGCGTTGCACCAAGTGGTGCAGCGCAGTCACCAACGCAGGTCCGCCGTGTCTCAATACTTTAGGCGGGATTCAGTCGGCCCCGGCACGCTTCCTGTTTCGCAGCTGATCCGTTGCTCTCTGCGTCTCATCTAGTATCGGCGTGTTCGCAAGACTGGCCTTCACATCGTGCTGCTTGAGGCCGTTCAATGTAAGCCAGTCGACATTTGAAAGGTTGTTCAAGATACCGTCAAAGTATTTTTGCCAGTTCTGCATTATGCCTGCAGTCTGTGTGCAGGTTGCGCCTGAACTACCATCGATTAGCGTCCTCAGCGGCTCCAATCTCGGTCCATACACTGCCTTCAAGGAGTAAAATAATTCCTTGTGTTGGCGGCGTTCGGCGTAGCGTTCCACCTGCTACATCTTCTCCGTCCGCCATGCATTTCTAATGCGACGGAGCTCTCGGGTCAGTCGCCGTCGAAGTTTGCGAAACTGACTACTCTTCCCCAAGTCACTGGGGTCTGCCACATGTGCGGCAACTACTGCATTTTTCTCCCACACCAATGCGCCAATCGTCGCATTGTTGTCATCCAACCAATCAGGCCGCTTACAGTTTGCGCGCCCGATGGTCTCCTCGACAGCAGCTGTCACCTGGTCGCCAATGTGGTGCCACAGGTCGTCCACTGTGGCTATGCATTCCACATCACACAGGCGTGCAGCCATCGGCTTCTCCAGCTCAATACGTTTCGCCACAGTACCGAGGACGAGAATGTTAACTTTACGCCGATTCACAGCAAAAGTGCAATACATAGATTTACTAAAATATGTGTACAGTTTAGTCCGCATCAATTTGTGATCCGTGTTATAGTTAGCTCCACGCAGTACACGTGTCATGCGCACTTCACGCATATCACACTGACGTACGATGACATTGGGGAGCAGGTAGGCGTGACCACTCCGTGGGTGTGTCCAGGTTTCTGTATCACTTGCACTTAGTGCAAACCGAGTGTTCATGATCGTCAGGCCGTGAGTGGCACACAGTGAGAGCAGCCTTTCACCGTTCGCATTCGCTGAACCAATGCCATGCAGACCGATAACACCTGTCCACACCGAGGCATAACATCCAACGCGCGCAGAAATGGTCGCTCTTCGCCACAGACCGTATCACGGAGGATAGCTGAGTGTAGAATTGATTACGCGTGTCATCAGAGTAACACATGATCGGACTGTACGTGCTTATAAAGGTGGCAAACTTACTTCTTCCGTGTCGTAGGTGAACAGTCATCAGTCGCGAGCTGATGCCCGTTGGTTCATCCACGAGCTGGCGATGGAGACGATCGGATATTGCAAACATGACCCCATGATCACGTGGTGCTGAGGCGGCGCTCCCCACCCAGTAGCATGTGTAGTCAGCACATGCTTCATGCAACTTACCCTGCTCATCGAGCAGGGTTTCACTGAGCGCCGCAATATCGTTGTGGTAGCGCGCCAGTTCCATCGCGACTAGTTCAGTGCGTCGCTCGAGGCGCTCACTCGAGTTCCGGTCCAGTACTGTGCGCACGTTCCAGCACCCGATGCTGAGTGCTTTGCGCGCAGGAATACTATTGCATTGGTAGGCAATCGCAAGCGTTGGGACGCTTGTAGTTCGGTGGTTAGCTTGAGGGACTCCATCCGGAGCCGTTGGCTCGATAGCCTGGCCCACAAGGCAGTGGGTGATTTGGAGGCTTGTTTGAGGTACTCCGCCCGGAGACTTTGGCTCAATAGCCTGACCCATAAGACGTTGGGGAGCAGATCCAGCTCGGTAATGTGATTGCAGAGACAGATTGGGATCTGCTTGATGGCCGTCACACGCATCCTTTGAGGTACTGGAACGATTTATATTTGTAGGATACACCTACGATCACGGTCAGATGCAGGTGGGTTTTATCGTGTTTGCACCAATTTAACCAGAGGCTGCCTGGCTGGAGGCAGGCAGTAGCAAACCATTGAACACCCGGAGGTGCCCTTCCACCGTCAGAGACAATGCGTGGCGCTCGTGCTCTACGCCAGTCGAGCTGTGAGCTTGTAACCCGTAGACCTGTTGTCACCTATGGCTAGGTCTTACGGGAAGAGGGCCAACTATCACTTCTAAACCTCCGAAGAGGATGAACTAGGATACTACCAGGGCGCTCACACCTGACAGGAGAACGACTCGGGTCCTCAGCCAAAGCCTTCTGTTAAATGTACACCCGAAAGGCAGTGGGTCTAGCACATGCTCAGTTCACTGACTCATGCGGATTGGTGTCCTTGATCTTAGCAGGGAGAAGGGCGAAACTCAACTCCCACCCAGCGGTCGCCACGAGGAAGCGTGCATCACATGAGTCAATGGCGCAACAGTCGCAGCAGTGGGTAGACCATCTGTCAGGATCTAGGCACCACCAGCCTCAGCGCACCATAGGCTTTCCCGCCTCAGTGTATATATATATATATATATATATATATATATATATATATATATATATATATTGTTAAGTCGTACGATGTTTGCCCTGGGGTCGCTCTAGTCATCATCAGTGTATCCATGGTAACTGCTGAGCAGTTATTTGGAATGCATATTCTTGACTCTGAATTCCGTAAATCAGAGTTGTGCTGCCAAGCCTGGGTTTTGCTGACGAAAGTCGTTATTACTGGTGTGATGCCTACTTGCACCAGCAATCCTGCGAAACCATTCGCGATGAAAACCATTTTTTGAACTTTGTTTGCCGATGTTTCACGGATGGGAGGAGGTCACATCGGTGCCATAACTGAGGGTAGTTGGCTTTGGAGATGCTTTCAGATCTCGGAAACGCGCGGAACCTCTATCTGCTAAGTCAGCTTTTAGTGTTAATGCGTTTGTCGCCCGTTGTTATTCGTGACGGCTTAAAGTTATAGTGATCTTTATCCAATCCCATAGAAATGCGTTACACTTCGTGATAGGAAGATATCCTGAGACACGAGACAGACGTCTTCAGCATACATGGCATGGGCACACTGTTATGAATCACAAGGCACCGCGAAGTCCTAAGAGTACTCTGCGTCACGAACTCTGTTACGAAGTCTTCCACAGCACTCCACAGCACTCTCCAGTCTTTCATCAATAACGATGTTGGATACGAATGATTACATGAAATAGCCCTGACACATGTTGCTAGTGATGATGAAAAGTCGCTAAGACACAGCTTGGCTTCATACCAGAGACAAATACAGTCATCAGAGGTTTGTCAACTCAGCTGCACTCTTGTCCGCATATCACTGTGCAAACCTCCAATTAATCCTACAAACTTATTCGGGCAACCAACACCAGCCACAGTGTCTCTCGGTTCACCGTGTCAGACGCTTTGTTGAAGTCTACAAACAGAGAGTACAATAGCTGGTGTCACTCCCGGGATTTCTCCTTCAACTGACGAGCCATGAACACCAGATCTATGCTGCTACGGCCCAAGCGGAATCCACATTGCTCTTCCGCCCCGTGACGAGGCGGTTGAGCAGGATTCGAGCAATCACTTTCCCCACACAGCTGGGCAAGTTGATAGCACGGTAATTCGTGGCACATTGCCCCCTTCATTTGCCTTTGTGCAGTGGTAACACAAGACATCCTTCAACCCAGATGGCACACTTTCTTCAAACCATACGTGTAGCACAAGCGGTGCAGCGCATGTCTCAACACAGGTCCACTGTGTTTCAACACTTCTGGCGGTATCCCGTCAGTTCCGGCACAGTTGCAGTTTCACAGCTAGGCTAATCTTCTCTGCGTCTAATCCAATGCTCACGTGTCGGCAGTACACCTCTTCGTCTCTTGCTGTTGCAGCCCGTGCAACGTTGCCCATTCAATCTCTGGACGGTTGTTCAAGTAACGGTTAGTGCTTTCATGGAATCTACACTATATCTACAGTCTGTGGGAAGATGCCTGCACACACACATATATATATATATATATATATATATATATATATATATATATATATATATCCTTGAATATCAACAAGTTATGGCGGCGATGCGTCCGAATGATCTAACGATGCACTGTCGCTGTTGTTTGTTTTGTATGACAACGCCGCAATTCTGCGCAGTACTCTGGTCATGATTGGCCTGGGGAACTAATTCAGTTTGCATGGACTATACTCAACACTCATATTTGCCCCGCTTTTCGGTTCCCGTAATGTTGATCTGTGCCCTTGTGCTATTTGCTCGAATCGTAATTTGCACAAGTTAAGTTCTGAAAGTGTCCATTGTTGTCTTACTTGTGACCAGGGAACTCTCTTCTTTCTTTACAGTTCTACGCATGGAAGCAAAGGAGGCCGATTGGAAAAAGACTAACGGCAAACTGCATGAACGCATCAACGAGTTAATTCGATTCAATATGGACTTGACCGACCAGTTGAAGTACTCGAGCCGAAGGAAATCCACCGGAGGACGTGCCCCTTTGCTTCGTTTCGGGGCGAATGCAGCACCATCATGTGTTTTATTCCAGGGGGATTTCCCAGCCGAAAGTTAGTTCACTTTATTATTAGCTCCATTTTACTGCGCTTGTTCTCCAGCTATTGAGTCATTTTAAGGTTTCAATTCTTGCTTTATTTCACACTGTGAAGGAGGCTTTGCGTTATTCTTCGTGGTTGCGTCCAAAATGGTTCGGTACACTTCCAAATCAAATAAAGCAACTCACTGGATCGAGCTTCAAATGGTTAGCATCTGTTCTTGTGTACCTGATGTTGTGTCAAATGGGAGCCCTCGTCGTGCGTTTTCCCTCATTCAATCTCCACACTTGGGTGAACATACATTCCGCCTTCCCCTTTTACCCATTTCTTTTGAACCCTTAGTTCTCAGTCAAGGTAGCTGCATTTTTATGTCTTAATTGGTGTGCGTTGATATGCGACCATAATTTTCACACACTGTCTCTAGCCTATTCTTTTCCCGCTTATTTCTCTGCTCCACTTAACCGGACGCATTTTCTTCTTCGATTCTGCCTTCAAGAGAATTTTCGCAACCATTCATGGGACGAGTCTCTGAACTCCTTCGTGGACTTGGTCAATCATCTCACATGCGCCAGCCAACTCGCTTCCTCATTGAGTCTGCATTATGGGGTCATGTTTGGTTATCTGTTTGGTTATCTGAGCGCCGTTCTAGCTCTTTTCCCACCGTTAGCTTGTGTTACATTGGCACCCTCTACCACACTGTGCTGTTGTTAGCCATTTTACGCACGCCAGATGAGCACAGCCTTCTGGTTTCCCTGGGTTCTACGTCAGAAACTCCAAGCGCCATTTGTTGCTGTCAGCGACCTTCTGCTTATGTTCTTTGGCTTAATGAAAGTTGGATCTCTCTATCGTTTTCACGCAATTGTTTAAAGGCCATGGCGATGTCCTAGTGCTTACTCACCTACTTGTGTTCACTGTAACTCCAATTCAACGATTCCTCACACAGGTCCGGTTTGACCTATAGACCATCATTGTCCTGACGATGCTCACCCACTTTTTTCCTCTTCAATCGCTCTGCTTTATCAACTATTTTACTTTATCAACTTTACTAAATTTCACCGCTTGGTGAAATTGATTTGAACATCCTTTGATTCGAATGATCTATCTTTGCAGTGCTGTTACTACTTGATCGCATAATCCACTGCGATGCCGAATGTGCATCTTGCGAAGTGAGCAGTTGGGAATTTCCACAAAGCAGAGGTTGGGATCTTGCTCGGGAAGAATTGGACCTTTTCGTGGACACGGGGGACGTCGTTTTCATCCATCCACAGAACGACATAATCAATCATGGAATGATTCCATTATTTGCGAATCGCCTCATTTTCAGAGTGCAAAATGACGTTTCGGAACAAGCAGTCGCTTGTAGATCCTGTGCGGCTACGCCAGTTAGAATTTACCGCTATTTGATCCTTTTACCGCTTTGGCAGGATAAGGCATATGACTGCTGTACGTTTTTCACATATTACAAAATCTAAAACCGGATTCCTAAGTATGCGATGTCCAGAACGACAGAAAGAGATTTCCACTTATCCTTATTGCCCGTGGCCTTAAGGATCACAAACCTGATTTGTACTCCTGTGGTCGCAGGTTCGAACATACCTACTGGACCGCTTGACCCTCACTGTATCCTTAGACTTCACGTGACTGGTGGTGGTTTCGTGACAGCGAAGTATCGGTACTGCGTACCAGCATACTGCTAATGCCCTTTTTAAGGGTAGGACCCTTTTGAAGGTTCCTGTCTTTTACGGCACTTATGCTTGGCTTCTTCTGGCTGGAGATTTCACTTGGCCCAAGGTGTTTGACTATCGTCTGCAGACCCTAACTTGTATCCACAGACACCAACGTGCCATTAGCTACAATGTTGAGTAGACTATGATCAGGTTAGTTCCCTAGCCTATCGACGAAGACCGAAAAAGTTACGTCGGTCCGGACGCAAGCTCTTCCGCCGATTACCGTGAATAGTTTACTTAGTTCGCATACCTCAATCGGCAGCAGCAGCAAGTTCAATTCCTGTTGGCCCATCTTGCACTTCAGGATGGAGTCTTCGTAAAAGACTTCTCGCTTGGTTTCATATGTCGCAGAACATGACTCCCGAACGGAACTAGTTACGCTTGTCTGTAGTGTGTTTGAGACTTTCCGGAATGAGGCTGTTTTTGACGAGGATTGGAAAAGAGTTTGTTTTTACATTATAAATAAATAAATAAACGTTTTATTCCTCAGCAGTGCGAGGCAAAGACCAATTGGGTGGTCTTATCAACATGTACAACGTGATCGCATAATATAGTTAATTGTTCGTCTTTTGATCAAAAGTTCCCATATGGGCTTTTTGAAATGATTAGCAGTCAATAGGCCAGTCACAATTTGATGGAAACTCTTGGCGAGTGGCGACGATGGTACAGAGACATCGGCTTGGAAGGCGTAGTGCATCAACGAACCAGTGCGTCAAAGGAGAAAACAGAATTGGTGAAACGGATTAATAGGAGTAAGATCGTTCTCAAATATATACTCAAGAGTGCAATTATATGTAGGTAATCTTATATTATTGAAACGAATAGTGGATATGGTGACTTTCATACGTATCCAGGACCTTTCTCATACAAATCATCTAGAGTCACCGTTTGGCTTAGTGTTGACCAGATGTTTGCAACAGTCAGGTGAATATTAATCATGCGTCTGAATTGTGCATAGGTAGTGCAGTTTCTAACACTCGATGGAAGTTTGTTCCATATTAACGCATATTTTACAGAGAAAAATTTTGAGCGGAGCTTTGTGCGAGACTTTGGTATTTTCACTGTGCGCTCGCTGTTTCTTAGTTCATAGCGCATATCAGTCTGAAACTCGAGTTGTGGCTGAGCAGTGAAGGTCAATCCGAATAGTAAGCGGTATAAAAGGCACAGAGTCTGCGTAGCCATAGCGGCTCCAGATTTAGCGCCTCGCAACGCTCACGGTATGTCATAGTATTAGGCATGTTCAGAAACCTTTTTGTGAATGATCGTTGAATGTTTTCTAGTGCTATAATATCCACTTTTCTCAGATTACTATGCACTATCGTACAGTACTCAAGTTTCGGCCTAACACATACTTTAAAGGCTTGAAGCCTTGAATCCCTCAAAATAAGAGTTCGACTTATATAGGCGATCACTTTTCTGGCAGAAGCCTGCAAGAATATAACATGCTCTAAAAAGTTAAATGAGGCAGAATATCTTAGACCAAGGTCGGGTATTCGTGACTATCTGCTTTTGTCAAGGTGTAAAGGTCTTAACTATCTGTGCTTGCCTTAGGCATTTATACCTTATATTGGGTTCCCCTTTTGCCCTCATTGCTGCTCTAGTTGCGGTTGTGAAACGATGATATATCGCTTCAGCAGGAGTACTGACTTGCTGCTTTTTGTAATATCGGACCTGAGTGCCACGTAGCGGGCACCAATGCGTTTCACATTTTTGCTTACATGTCACTCGCCAGGTTTGAATCGCATCTAGTTGCTGAGCGAATCATTATATATATATATATATATATATATATATATATATATATATATATGCAACTGTCTGTGAATAGAATTGAGCCATCGGAAACCATGGAACTCAAAACAAGGTACAGAAATAGTAAAAGAAAACCCAACCCAACACATCAAAGTCCATGGTTTCGTCATAATAATGATAATAATAGTTAATAATCTAGTTATATTGAATACATTTCATTGTTAGTTTACGCGGTACCTGCCGTGTGTCTGGATTACGACGCAATCTCAATGGGGGACATGATTTACTCGTTAGACGAACTGTTTGTTGAACTTGGCACTTTTGTTGTAAACGATTCATCCTCAGTCATAATGACATAATCAGTGCGTTTGGCGTGTAGCGGAGCGGAACGAGACGTAATTGTGAACCGAGTAGTCACGGGCCTACGTTTTTATCCCTCGTCATTATCGGTCGTTTTGGCATGTGACCTTTGAAAATGACCTCTTCGGCACAACCCTCTTGAACATGGCCCTCCTGTCTCCGCAGCCGAAAATACTGTCTTAGCTACTTGTATGGTGTCCTTTTCCATTGAGCTCATTTGACTGCGGTTCATGTCAAGTGAAGTCAAAATAAGCTTTATAAACTCTAGTGGGTTCATTTTCAGCATTTGCACAACCACTGCGGACACCTGGATGATACTATCAATCTACATGCTTGGGTAGCAAAGTGGAAAAAAGCAGAACTCGCGCAGCCTGTTAGTGACTTTTGCTGTGTCAACAAGTAAACGTATTACGTTACGATGACCTGCGGTAGACTAAAACTCTGAATTTCGGACGAGTAGAAGAGAAAGAGAGCGTTTTGGAAAGATCATTGTGCAGTGTATGAAATCGATCAGTTAGTCTTTTAGCAGAAAAATCCTTGTAGGCATCAAGATGTCCAGAAATAATCAAATCAACTAAAGTATCTCTAGACAAGACGCTGCATCTAGAAATGTGCTCTGTACATCACACCAATACGATGTAGTCTTTCTGAAGCAGTCCAAGGAAAATGACAGGAGAGCCGTTTAGCCAATGAGGAATAATACAAGAGATCACAAACTTGAATATTAAAGGACGAGGTACTGAAAGCACCTTAAGTCTGCGGGCGTAATAGAAAAGTTTTCTGATTCTTTGAAAAGTTTTCCAGACGTGCATGGACCAGGAAAGGTTCCAGGACAAAAAACGCCGAAACACTTGACGGTGGAAGAGCTGGGTATGGGATTTTCACAGTAATAGTGAGGGAGAAAGCTATGAGGGGCTGCGGCTTATCGCTGCGTGGAAAAGAAATATTACATCCCTGCATTTAGGAGCATTAAGCGTAAGAGATCTGGGTGAGGAATCCTCGTTAGTGGGGGACGTACATCCCAGCATAACATCATCAGCATATTTACAATCTACAAATGTGGTTTGTATAGGGAGATGTTTAACATACAACGAAACTAGTAAAGGTGATGGGATCACTCCCTGTAGAACACGACAGTCGGCACGGAGGACAGAGAATTTCTTCCCGTTCAACTTG